ATTTTGCCTGAAACTCTCAGACTGAAGAAGTCTCTTGGAAGAGAGACGAAACGTTTCATTAAAGAAGAACCCGTCCAGAGGGCCTATACAATTTTTTTTCCGTCTTGATCAACAGTTCTCCAAGTTATCGGAAAGTCTTTTAAAGTTTTTCATTGGAGTTTGGCTGCTTTTTTACTCTTTTTTTCTCCATTCTTTAACCATGACATCATTTTGTTGATTAAAGTCAAATGAAGCGTCTGGATTCAACTCTATCTCCTGCAATTAAACAACAGTAGTAGTAGCAGTAGTAAACAGTAGTAGTAGAAATGCCCCAATTACCTCAAAGAGCCATAAATATGCCACATCCTCCAGTTAATTATTGAGTGGTGTCAGCTTTTCAGCAAACAGCTCTTTGGGAATCAACTTGTTGATGCTGAAACACCACTTTTTAGGTCAAACTCTGATGCTTTACAGCTTTGATTAAAAAAATAAACTGAGTTTTTTAAACAAACTGTTGTCAACAAAGGGCCTAAAAACTCTAAATAAAACCAAACCACGCTGGCTCATCTCTTGAGTTTAGGAGCCTTTTATCTGAATGATTCATGGTTTAGAGGTAAGTGGTTTAACAAACAAAAAGCAGCCCAAGTTCATAATAATACTTTTAAAAACCCCAGAAAGCCTAAAAAACTCTTAATAAAGATGATTTTAGTTAAGCCTGACTCCTTGGAAACAGAATATGAAGAAACGAGGAATGCCTCATAATTCTGGACATGACCAGTTTTTGTGCTGTCTTCAACCTTAACCTTTTTATGAGAAGTCAGATTCATAGAGTTTTAGAAGAGCTCTTAGATATTTGTCAGAGCCGATCAGCAGAAAGAAGAAAGAAATACTGTGTGATGAGCGCGAAACTATTCTCAAACACATGACCGGTAGCTATTCTTAGGCTTTGCCCTTCACGCAGATTGATGAAATTTCCACTGGCGCTCCCCACTAATGAACACCACCCCATCAAAAATTGATCTGTGCCATAAGTTAATGTCCATTTCTAAAGCTTTACTCAGCCATGTCAGGATCAGTATCACTGCTCTGGACAGATTCACCTGTCAAAATGGACCACATGTGCAAAATTATAAATTTAACACTTTAAATACAGCTTTCCCCCTTTGTCTTTAACACRAGGCATTCACTCTGTGTAACTTTATGTGCATAGATTCATGTGTAATACCTGTACAGTTTAAGAGTAAGCGTCCCATAGACAGTGGCAAAACCAAGGAGTCGGACCCAACGAAGCAAAATGCAGCGAAAAACACTTGGCTGAAAGTAGAGAATCCCAACCTGAAACAGGATAGAAGAAAGATTTAAAAAAAAAGGCCACAAAAAGAAACACGGGCCAAGTTATTGAGTCACACGCACAGCGAGTGTTTCCCATTTAAGTGATAATAAGAGTTCTATTCTTAGGAAATTAAATTTACAGTCACGGGAAGTTGCTGCCTTATAGTGCTCTCAGCAGATGGCTCCATAAAGAGTGAAGTAATCTTATTTAAATGTTTGTTCTAAGTGTTCTAATTTAGATTGGAGTTTTTCACAACACGGTTCGACCTAACACTCAAAAACACGGCCCTTTGTTGATTTGTTGGTTGTAGGTTTTGCACATTGTGTTTTTTATACATTTATTAAGGTAAGATTAAGTACCATTATCTATTTTTAAGTAAAAAAAAATAAGGAGAGAAAAAAAAACAGCAGCAGATGGAGTTTGTTCAGCTGCCATGCATCAGTTGCTAAATGAGCAGCTGCTGGAGCTTTAAATGCAAGAATAAAAGTTGTTTTTTCCTCTCTAACCAACATAGTTGAAAGGCCTGAACAGAGTTTCATTTTATGCAAATTTTCCACATTAAACATGAATACAAAAACTGCCCAATCCCAGTATTTTTATTATTATTATTATTATTATTATTATTATTATTATTATTATTTTAATTTATGACAAGTTTTATTGATTAGACTGGAAAACGGGGTTCTTATTATTGCTCTGGTGATGTTTAGATGTATATTGAATCTGTCTGACTGCTACCTGGTATATTTGAGTGAATTATTCAATAACTGAGCATCATATTGATGTATTTTAATATATCAAAACCTGACAGCAGGAGAAATGCTAGTTATATTTCAACCACGAGTTTCAAAAATGAATACATAAAAATCCCTTTTTGTCTAACAAACTCACTTTTTAAATTGTTTTTCTGGCAGATATGATAGTCTAACAGGATGTTCCCCAGGTTGTACCAAAAGTGTTATACCTAGCTGTTAATGTTTAAAAAAAAACAGAATTCTATGCCAGTAATCATGTAATATATGATTCAGGTCAAATTTTATAATTTTTTTTTTTTTTTATTTGCAGCAATCCACTTTAGTTTTGATCCTGCTCAGACCATCAGCTCATCAATTCAGTCAAAACTAAACTTGATTTCTCCAAACTGGGGTAAGTCGAAGAGCRATCTACAACAAGTAAGATACTATTTGCTCATAACTACAAGACCCAGTTTCAAATAATCAGTACCCCTTTAACTTTTACATAAACTATGTTCTTCACATTCTCTGGCTTTACAATGCTTAGAGATTGTTGTGTTATCATGGTTTAGTTTTTGTACAATCACCTAGTTTTTTGGGGCATTCATTTGATTTTAAAAAGGTAATAATAACTAAGAAATACAAACCTTTTTWAAAAAATCATTATTTGCATACAAATGAACATGTGCACGGACATGAGCATCGTTGCTTCATTTTTCCCTTCAGCAATAGTTGACAAAAATAACTATGGTTACTCTGACTAGTCCTGCTATTTTGGTAATACAACCTATTTTGCTGAGTAATAAAAAAATCACACATTTTATACCAAAAAAGAAAAAAATCATGATGTGCATTAATCATAGGAGTTAAAAGAAGCTGTGACATTTTCTAACTATCCTTTCCAGTGATCCAAAAAAAAAAAAAAATAAAACCTTTGAGCCAGCTAACATCACAGACAGACAGCCTGCCCTTGAGACAGAGTGGAGGGCATCCACCCATGTTTGAGCTCACTGCCACAGAACCCTGATGGCCTTCCAGTGACATAAAAAGAGCCAAAAACAAACAAAAGACAGAAACAAACATCTGAGGCGACATAATTATCTGTTCGCTGCAGATGTGCAGTGATTTCCCCTGTGGGATTGTTAATGGTAATCGGATTAGCTGAACCATTAATACGTTCCCCTCAGGCAGCGGTGAAGACGCAGGCGTGTGGATATTAGCTCTTGCTACGTTTGAGTCGGTTAAGTGACGCGGAGGACCCCAGGGAGGAGCAGAAGCCCAGATCCTCATCTGCAGACCGACCGAACTTCTGACTCAAAAAAAGCAGCTTGACTCAGYTTTTTTTTTTTTTTTACAGGAAACAGAATGCTCAGCAAATACTGAAGGCAGAGCTTCTAATCTTCCATGCAGACCAGGTGTTTCACTGTATTTTAGTTTACATTTGGCATCATTGTTGGAGATTAAATTTTGCATAAGGTTAAAGATAAATAATGTTTTTTTTCCAACACAGAGTAAAAAATCTGATAAAAAGTTAGCRTGCCTGACAGACACAGCAACTCGCTGACGCATGTTTGGGTCCAGAGGGACAGAATAGGGTACAGGAAGTAAAAATGCACCGGGATCTGGATCACGTGACGGCTGCATGGTGTTGTTCGAAATTATTATTATTATTATTTTCTGTTTTTAGTTGTTGTGGAATCTCATTAACTGAYGGGTCAAATCTCAAATGGAAAAGTGGAAAGAAAATAATCACAAAATGAACAAAATATCTCTAAAATGGACAGAAAAACAAACAAATAAATCGAGATGCCTAACATCTGAAAAGGGATTGTAAAAAAGTGACAAAAAAAAAACATTCGTAACACACACAGATGAAGACAAAAAGCAACAACATATTATTTCTTTATGACCTGAGCTTGGTTTTGTGTCTCTTTAGCCTTGTTGGCCCTCGGTGGGACACATTAGGGTCATGTTCCACGTCTGTACCCAGAGGCTAACCCTAAATGTCATYGTGTTGTTGTTAGCATTTAGCTAAAAGATTCACTGTGGCACAGGGTCAAAATCCCTGAACCTTGTACAAATTAAACATTTAAAGGGGCATATTATATATTTTCTAGGCACATGGTTCAATTCTGCACCACAATCATGTACCGTTATGAAAAAGATGCATTTATTTCACAACCTCCTACTAGTTTGGACACTCCTACTTCAGCAAGTTTTCAAACAATGCTTTGAGGGAGAGATGCTCTGTGGGACGGGGGGTGGGGGACCTCGGCTGAGCTTCAGGGAGGAGCTTTGTACAAATARGCGGTGCTTTGTACCAGCAAGCATTTAGACAGCTACACATGGTTAACACGGTGGATTTAAAGATTTCTCAAACATGCATGAATGAGTCAAAGCAACACACATCCCATGATGTAAATAAAGTAAATTTTTGCATAATACSCCCTTTAAATTTAGGCTTTTGTAACCTGATTCACTGCAGTCAACATCAGCATTGTTTTTCTGTAAATGACAATTTTGTGAATTTTGTGTGATTTATGTAGATTTTCTTTATTTAGAAGACTAAACATTKTGCATTTACTCTCTCCAGCCTTTTTTAAAACCAGCTGGAATTTCTGACACATTGTATTCATTTTTGATGCTTCTGATGAAATTCCAGTTCCCGTCCTCACTGTTACAGAAAATAATCAACTTTTATGTTTCAGTCGATATACAGCAAGGTGTCCCCATTGATTCTCTGACTAATGCTTGCACTTTCAAAACGACCCAGTCATTGTCACCCAGAGAGCTCCCAGTGCTGCTCAGAAATGTATTATACAAGCTGTTCTGCTATATGGCACTTTTCACCAGCAGGCTTACTGGGAACCCTCTGAGCCACAGACGAGTTTCTCTTAACGCCAGYATGCATAAAGAGTGAGATCAGTTTCTGCTCTCCTTCACATTTTCAAACCTTCCATTAATAATCAATGCTAAGTGCTGAGAACTGAGGCTTCAGCACCGTCGGAAAGCAAAGAGATCCTGTGTTCTTCACGTCTGTGTAGATCTGGGTTCTGTGCTTTAAACTAGTGGACGTTTTTCTCTGAGGGGATAATTATCAACTAATTTTACACAACACCCATTTTGTCTAAGCTACAGCTAAATATTACCTCATACTGTACTTCAGTCCCAGCATTTACAGTTTGTTAACTCGTCATTTTTACAGTGGACCTGCATTGTTTTATTACAGGTCCAGCTGAGGGAAGATAACGCGGCAGCTGGGATTTTAAAGTTAAATCAGCTGATCTGCATGGTCCCCAGGCWCTGACCTTACCTAATTCACTGCAATGCCTGATTCTGACACATTTAAAACTTTTTACTAGTTGGGAAAGTTCACTGTTTGGAGACGTGCTGACAGAAGCAATTTTCCGTGCTCCTCTCTGGAGGACTGGGTTCAGGTTTTTTTATTAACACAATGTTATCTATTACTGACCTTCTGCTCAGGACAAACCTTCTCATTTGTCTGAATAAGACAGGGCTTATTTTTTTAAAGTGGAGTTCCGTGGAATTGTTATAAACAGTTAATATCTTACATGTTGCAGATAGCTCTTTAAATCACCTCAAGGCCTAAGGCTAATGGAAACAATACCACTCCCATAAAATTAATTTTTTTCTTAATTAATGATTCTTCCAAAGTTATCTAGCCATTATTTTTTACATTACTGTCAGATTCACATTGCACAGTTATTCAGACTTTTAATATTCCTGTCTGACATGCCACGGCGACTTTTTTTTTGCTTTGTACTGTTATGCCAATAATAATACAAACATATCATGGCAATAATATAAACGTAAATAAATCCAATAGCTTGATACAGTTTGACTGGGTGGGATTCCTGTAGTAACTTTAGTTTTACTGTTTGTTTTCATGAAGGTGTTTTACTCTACGGGGTTAGACAATGAAACTGAAACACCTGGTTTTAGAACATAACATCCCTTTCAGACAGCTTCCTCTCAGCCGGTTCGGATGTTATCAGTCCATTAAATGGATGTTATTAGTGGTTATCAGTCCCATAGAATGGCTTCAGACTGTCCCGACAGTGCCCCCTACTGGGTTACCAGTGCCATATATGTTGGAATGCAACAATCTGCTACCCTCGGAGTCCGGTCTACTTTATCATCGCCCATGTCATTTTCTCTAAAATTAACCTTAGTGGCTTTATGCCTCATACTAACCAGCTGACAGTCTGGAGCCATTCTATGGGACTAACTGCTAATAATGTCCATTT